AAACTAATTAAAAGGCATTATTGTGCTATTTTCTTTGTGCATTTGCAAGTTTGCATGATGAATTTTACCCAATCGTTTTTGACATTCTAGAAAATACAAAAAAATAAACACAATGTGTTTCATTATGAATAAATTTAGGGTTATTAAGATTTACAAATCATTAAATTCTGATTTTATTTACATTTTAAACAACCTTTTCAGAACTAGTTGTGCACAAAAACAAGATGTGAAGAAGCTGCAGAACTGATCAAGAGTTGACTTCTTTGATATAAAAGCTCTTTGATTTCTGCAGCCTRTGAAGTGTGACAAAGGAACAAATGCAAGATAATATTAAATAAAAGGTTGATCATTGAGGAATCTACAACAGACAGATTTGAGTGCTTACAATATGGAAAAAATGAAGTCATAGCTTCTGAACAGGCCTGCAAAAAGTGCAGGATTATGGGGCGACATTTATAATTAACTTTATCAATGAGTGAAAGAAAAAACATGAATCAGAGCAGCCTTTCAGCTCATGAAGTAAGTGAGAAAAAAATCAACCATCTGTGAAGAAACTAGAGAAGAAAACAGGGAATGACGTCAACCAGGCTTTTATGAAAGTGTGTGAAAACAAGAGCACAAAGGAGCATGTGGAACCACGTGAAAATGTAAAAAAAACATCTCCTGAGCATAAAATAAGCTAAATAAGATGCAAATTAAAGTTGTGCATGAGGAAAGTGAGAGTGTGTGTGGTGTGGAGAAGGAAATAGGGCCCCAGCAGGTGGAGAGAAGTGTGATAAAACAGTGACGCACTTGAGCGAGCGAGCGCAGAGCCTCCTCTCCGTTCCTGTGCCGCTCCCTCTCTTCTCCGGGATAAATTGGGAGCCATTATTATTCATCTATTCAACGAAGCGAAGCTCCGACAGACACTCACATGCCTGCCTCCCCTACGCTGAGCTCGCTGCTCGAGCCTCTGCCCGTTCTGACAGATGAGTGACACGGGCGGCGTCCAATCAAACCCACGCGGTTCGTACGTCCTGCTACGAAGAAGGTGCGTCATGGATTTTTTCCTGCCAAACCAAAGCTCAGAGACCAATGGGAAGATGAAGGATGAGCTGAGCGATGCTCTGCTTTCATCCTTATATAGACATGACAAGCTCTGACTCTATGGAGTGTTTGCTGAATGCAAAATCTTTCTGTTTGCATGGAGTGGAGACTGGCACTCCGAGTGAAAACTGACAGATTAACTGAAGAGTTGAATGAAATGATGCAAAACTTTGAAGAAAAGATGTAAAAGTTTGAATGTGTGACTAAAATACTTTACTCACCCCTTTTTTCTTGCAACATGGAACTTATTCCAGAGGTCAGAGGTCACAAAGGAAGGGAGAAGTTCCTTCATGCTGCATTGTTAAAGCTTCTCCCCGAGTCGCTATTTGAATTACATTATTATCCAAAAACATGTGAAACAAAGCAAAACATTGCACAGTGTTTTGTGTCAACAGAAACTTTGCAAATGTTGGCAACTTTGTTTGGATCCAGACTTGATTTTGTTTAGTCACTCGTCAGGGCTCACAACTTTAGCATCTCAGTGTGAGTCCCACATAATTCCTGCTTTTCTCATGCCCGCACACATTCATCTTCTCACTCGGTGAAAAGAAAAACACTGTTTCACTGTCGATGACGTCCAAATGGAGAAAAAAAAGAAAACTGACACAAACAAGACGAAGCAGCAGCAACAAGGTTTTCAGACCAATTAGGCAGAAATGTTTGGTGTTTATACTGAAAATGAACATTTTCCACAACCTGCCAGCAGAGATTTCAGAGTCTTATTGAAACATGCATGATTTGTCTGCTTTATTAGAATCTTTTGAAACAAAATMAATCTTTTAATTGTTGCTTCATGCRCACTACTTATGTGAGCTGCAWTTACAATTCCTTTCAAAGATGCAAAACCATCTCAGTCTGGTTCCTCCAAACAGCTGCTGCCTGAGAGGCTCTTGGTTGTTCTTCAAAGAACAACGGTTCCAGTTTCATTCCACCCAAAAACTCAATTACCTGCTTTAAACAAAAAGAGAGAGAAAAAAAGCAGAATCGATAAACAATTTTTCCTGCCTCGTTTTATGATGTTTGTGATGTTTTATTCTTTCAGATAATAAGAAATCMTTTCACTGGTTTGAGTTTTCAGACGTGACAAATTACAAGAGAAGCTGTAGACCTTTTTAGAATACCAAACAGTTTGTAATTTTAAGAGAAATATGGTAAAACTACAGGAGAATCATCAAAAGATCCCTCAWACTTCRCTGTGGGACGTCTGAGTTACAAGAWGGATGAAAACTCTGTTCTAAAGCAAGAGGCTAACAAACGTTTGATTTGGACCGGTGAAAGAAATGCTGTAACTGATTGACTAAATGTTAGATCCAGTATTGTAATTTTACACATTCTGATCATTGCAGCCATGTGGTTAAAAACAGAAAATAGGAGTTGATGAGTCTTATCCATGTGTTCTTTATGTTGTAACGTCTGACAGTAAAGGTACTGTTCAGGGGTTGTTGTTAGGTTCTGGGCAGCCTCTCCTTAGAATCAGCATGGGACAGACATTGCTCCTGAGAGTGTATTTGTTTAGCTAAAGATATACATTTTATTTATTTATTTGTTTATTTATTTATTTATTTATTTTGCTTCTGCTCTCGGCGAAGGCAGACTTTTTTCCCCTCTCTCTTCAGCCTTCCCTTATCTACCCTGTTCTGCTGTATTTAGGGCCTCCTTTACATCTCATCCAAACTGGAAGTTATAGATCGGTCAGCTGGTCTCTCAACACTATTGATCAATTTTTTTCTACATGGAAACTGGGCAAAGGAGAGCCCTCTTGTCCTGATGGGACATATGCAGCAGGGTGTGTTATGGATTCCTGTGGTGATTGGACGATAATGTGCTTTTCTATGCTGTCGATTGAGGATGTCGAAGGTGTTTACTTAATTGGATTAATGATAGCTGGATTTCTGCTGATTGGAGGTGGTGGATAGCTGGCCCATCGTGAAATACTGAAAGTGTCGGGAGTCATTCGGGCCTTGATGAGGTTACCCTGCTTGTGTGATGGGATCAGCACTCAGACTCAAGCACAGCTGGAGCAAAGCTGAAAGCTGGATGCTCTCCTCACCGGGGGTCGCAGGTCAGATCTGGGAGAAAACTGTGCTCGATGAGGAGAGGAATGACCAATAAATTCAGCTGACTGGCATTTCACCATGAGAGTTCTAGTGGCAACAAGCAAAGTTATGTCAACAAACACTCTGCTCCCCAGCTCCCTCCTCCCACTCACGTCTGTGAACTGGTCTGGAAGCAACGAAAGGTCGAGCCGAATGGAAAATAGCATTATTCTGAACTATGGCTGGGGGGGCTTCGGGTGACTGGTTTCACAGTTTTACCTGTTCACACATGCACATACAACACTTTCACAGCTTCAGATACCCCCCGCACCCCCCCCCCC